AACTATGACGTCTTCGTGATGCGCCACCTCGGGTCCGCGTCAATGTGCATATGGTACACATGTATGTACACATGTACGTACTTTATTAGTACCGCGCAAGTCTTGTACCACCCTGTGGCCTATTTTTATGTACCTAATTGTACGAAGCCATTTCGGATGTATGTATTGTCATAGGTACCTACCTACCAAATCTGCCTTAAGCGCGGTTGAACCAAATAACCTTTGCAAACATCAGATGCGAGATGAGACTCAGTCCGATAATCATTACAAAATGCAAACTTTCAAGTGACTGCGGATGGCATGTGTAAAGTATAAGTATTTCGAATATTGTGAATGAAAATAGGGATGAAGAAGGAAAGAGCTTTTTTTATCTAGGATGTAGTTAATTAGATTAGTTATATCTACATAGGTATTTAAGTAGGTGCTTTTATGACACTTGGCTTATGTCAGTCATGATATTGTGTCAAAGAAAGAAAGAGAGAAAAAAAAAAAAAGGTTTCACCGAGTCATCAATTTCAAGGGTCCTCTTGCTTAATTCTTTTCACCCCCCTTCAACTTTTGCCATTTCGTCATCGAGGCGGGAACCCTTTACTAGTGTATCTAGCGTCTGTAGGTTATGTATTCTTTTCATCCAATCTTATGTTACGTAGTCAACCGAATCTATATTTTGAATAATATTGCCTCCTTACTTTACTTCATAATACACTTCATTAGAAAGCATTCATGCGTAACAAATCCTTTTAACAATCCTCAATCTAAATGGGGTTCATTTTCCTGCTTTCGTTCAAGCTACTATGTACTTGTCTAGGTACATAGCATTGAATAAGTGGGAACAGACATTCCAGTAGTTCCTGAAAAAAAAAAAAAAAAAAAGGGTTTGAAGAAGAATAGGAACAAGCGGCTTATGAATTGCCTACGTACCTACTAAATCTGCTAATGTATATTGTCCGTCTCCACGCTTTCAAGGCGCCGTGTCTCCCACCCCTTCGACCCTTGCTGCCGTCGCAAAGTAGCGCCATTGAATCGCAGATCATTACCTCAGGCGACATATTCTCTTGCCCTAATAGGATCCAGAAACTCCCGTAATAGAGTCGACCCTCTATGACACTCGAACAACAGTGCCCCCCCCGAAATCTATCTACATTACCAAGCCTACCAGTCTTACCAGTCTCTCTGTACCTTGGTTCTTCTTAAGTACCTGCACGAGACACCAACTAATAACCCAGGTCAGTCGCCCTGCTCCAGTCAGGCAATCCGAGACCGCCCCCATCCTACGTACATCTATCAAGTCAGGGCAGTCTTTCGTTCTATTTCCCGTGCGACCAAGTTGCGTCTACTAAGTACATCAAAGTAGAGATCGCCGTGGTCCAGGCCTCATTGTCCATTCCACACACACACGCACACCACCAGCAGCGTATCGACTGGGCCACACATTAAAAAAGCAAAAGAGTTCCTAACGCCTGAAAGAGCGGGCAAGAAAGGACTTCTTTTCTCTAACTAACTGTCTCCTCCCCCCACCCACCATCTTTCCGTGTTGCTATTACTATCGTCACATTCGAAAGAGCTGGGCTCTGTTCTGTCCGTCGCCTCCTCGTATTATTTGTGCGTGCTACGCTTGCCGTTGAGGCTGTTCCTACTGTCTTCGAACATATTCTTTGCTTGTCTCACTCTTAACCCGGCTTCCCTTTCCCACGCCTCAGCCACGACGTAAGGAGAAAGCGAGAGCTATACGTACCGCTAGAACTACAGCATTGTTCTACAGATCCTAGTGCCACTAAAAAAAAAAGGAAAAAAGAAAACGTATATGCATCTCTGAACAAGCCGTCGCTCGTCATGTCCAGATTATAAGGCAGACAAAATACTGAAATGGGAAGAAGAAGAGGCTGGTCCGCTCAGAGACACGACGTCATACGTAAGATGAGAATGAAGATGGCCCCAGACTCGACGAAAAGCAACGACCGTTTAGCAGCCGGTATTACCACCACAACCACTCATCATTACACCATGAAGACATCTACGAGACCGGCTCTTGCCTCGTCTCACTCCCACCACTCTCACCACTCTCACCACTCCCGCCATCCTCAAACAAATATGCAGTCCTTCCGCGCTAATAAGTCTACGACTCCCCTGGCGTCGCCTCGCATGCCTCATTCCGTCGGTCAACCCTACCCGCCTGGTACCAAATTACCCCCTATTGTTACAGATGTCCGGCCGTCTAGTCCCAATTATTTCGGTCTCAACGTTGACCATCCGGCTGCTGACGTTGGTAACTCGGACGTTGCTCCTCTTGATCATTGGAGTCCCCCGAGCTCGTCCATCAAGTCGTTTGGTGCCGCGATACCGAAACAAGTTCCTCTTGATGCTAACCCGGAGTTTGAGGCTTTCAGACGCCAAGTCGATGCGAACCGTTCCAAGGGTTTTAATCTAGGGAGCGCTTACTTTGCGCCAACCCCGTCACCCATGTTCGTAAGACCTAGGCCTCCGCGTTTGTCAACCAATCACAGCGATGCCGCCTCGGATTTGTCTAGTACTCGATCTTTAAACGGCAAGGTTGTCGATGGTGTAGGCGGCCGAATGGATGTTGATACGGACAGTCTACATGACTCTGCGTATGTATCATCAGATTCGAAGAGGAATTCTGAGGTGTCGCTGAACCCTCCCTCATTTAGCAACATGCCTCGGTTTGAGTCGCCCGCTCGTGCCGACTCTCCTTTTGAGTCCATACGCAAGACGGCATTGTCCAAACCTGAAGATCAGCATTCGCGACTATCGTTGTCTCATGAGAAGTCGGAACCGACGACGGAACCCATGAAACCTCGTGCCGAGACGCTACCGACAACGCTTGTTGAAAATGGACCCGGACTCATTCTGCCAAGGCAACTTGAGGATATGCTTTCGAATATGCCCGAAAATGACTATCTTTTGTTGGATGTGCGGGTATCTACACATTATGCCCAGTCGCGCATTCGCGGTGCTCTGAATCTCTGCATACCAACGACGCTTTTGAAGCGCGCTACATTCAACTTGCAGAAGTTGCAGCAGACCCTCCAGATCGAGGAAGACCAGCAGAAGTTCGCACAGTGGTCAAATGCCAAGTATCTTGTGGTATACGATGCCTCTTCAACAGAAAAACGGGATGCAACCTCAGCTATGAATATGTTCAAGAAGTTTTCGAACGAGGGCTTCTCTGGGAAATCGTATCTTTTGAGAGGAGGGTTTCATGCCTTTTCCACCGAATATCCTGAGTCCATTGATCATCAATCAGCTTTAGAACGGGCAGGCACTGCAGCTGCGTTGTTGGAGGGCGGACGACCGAGCTTCGCCCCTGTCATCGGCGGCGTAATGCTCCCATCAAATGCTAATAATCCTAATCCATTCTTTAGCAACATCCGGCAAAATATCGATCTAGCAGATGGTGTCGGACAGATGGATATCACTGTGCCATCTAATCTGGATACGAATGCACTCCCTCCTTGGCTGCAAGATGTGACTCGATCATCAGATCACGGGAAGAAAGCGTCTGAGAGGTTCCTGAATATCGAGCGTAGTGAGCAATCTCGTATGAAGGAAGCCTATGCGTCTTTGAATACGTCTGCGCCTCCAAGTCAAAATTCTGGACGAGTCTGCCTTTCCGGAGTGGAAAAGGGTGTTAAAAACCGTTACAAGGACATCCTTCCTTTCGAGCATGCTCGCGTCCGTTTGGCCGATCGAGCCCAAGGTGCCTGCGATTATATTAATGCCAGCCATGTTCAAGCCTCGCGTAGTAATAAGCGTTATATCGCTTCTCAGGGCCCTCTGCCAGCCACCTTTGATGTAAGTTTGCCTATCGTGATATTCTGCCTGGTAATTTCGGAAGCTCACAGCTATTTCTTTTAGGATTTTTGGTCTGTGATATGGGACCAAGATGTTCGTGTTATCGTCATGTTAACCGCAGAATCAGAAGGGGGTCAACTTAAATGTCATCCGTATTGGCATGATACGGAATTCGGGCCTATTAAACTCAGGTCTATGTCCGAGAAGAAAGTATCGCTTGATATGGACAAGCATCGGTCAAATTCTGGGGCTACGTCCTCAAACAGCGCGCTAGACTACGGACGACGTCGTGCTGCCACTACAACAGCGTTTGAATCTGCCCCGAACACGCAGCCCACTCAGGCACAACCCGAGACCCCCTACGTTATTGTTCGAAAATTCGCCTTGTCGCATGCCGCTCATCCGTTTTCTCCCATACGCGAAATTACCCAACTTCAATATCTACTGTGGCCTGATTTTGGTGCCCCGGCGCAACCGTCTCATCTACTGGCTCTTGTTGAATTGGCCAACGTGATGCAGCGTGCCGCGCTGCCCGTGGACGCAAGTTCAATTGCCGCATCGGTCCCTACTGAGATGCCGGCAGCCACGGGCCGGTTTGACGAACCGGAATCTGATGCGAATGCCAGGCCAATGCTAGTGCACTGCTCTGCCGGCTGTGGTCGTACTGGAACCTTCTGTACTGTTGATACCGTTATCGACATGTTAAAACGGCAACGTCAAGCCACAGCAAATCGCGTAGACGGAGATGGAGATGTGAGCATGAATGAAGGCTCACCTATCCGCCGCCGGACTTCGACCGCCAATGGCCTCAATCCTAAACCTATGACGAATGGCAATAAGGAGCTAGAAACCAGTTGGCTTGAAGATACAAACCTTGATCTGGTCGAAGCTACAGTGGAAGATTTCCGAAAGCAACGACTGAGCATGGTCCAAAGTTTACGGCAGTTTGTCCTCTGCTACGAGACTGTAGTAGAATGGGTCTCGAGAGTTCATGAAAAGAACAATAGTATGGCTGGCGGCAGGGGTCGGCCACGGAGTGAGACTATGAATGCTAGATGAGGGAGACAAGGCGAATTCGGAGCATGTCTCGACAAGAGTTAGCCTGACAGGGAGGGAATAGGGGTAGGCCCAAGAAATATTGCATAAGTTCGCATTTGCATCAATACGGCATTCTAATACGGTCGGAAGGTACATACCATCGGCTAGATGTTTAGCCAGGCAAGGGGTATACGGAGTTTAGGGATGGATTTAGTGCTTCTATAGGCGTTTCCAGGTCTACGGCATGGCATATTACTTTTTTTTTTTTTTTTTTTTTTTTTTTTTTTTCAACTAGCGAGATGAAAGCATTGCACATTGCACATGCGGGACCTACAGCGGGGACCAGGAAAGAAAACAAGCAACCAAGAAAGAAAGAAAGAGGCAAGAGGACTTACAACAGTACCTGTCACCAGCAGCCACGTCGACAATTGGATATGTACAATAAGAATGGGGATATACGGATGTGGTGGCGACGACGATGGCCCTGATTCTAGACGATACCGCAACTTATAGTAGCGAGTATATAACCGCATACACATACTTGCTAATATGGAGCAGAACAGATAGAAATACATCGATATTCTGCAATTGAAATTGTTCTCGATATAACCCTTTTCGTGATAATTGATTTTTTATTTTTATTTTCATTTTTGTAGAGCTGACGATGCGGCATCGTGCCTTGGTGTGTTTACCTAGTGCCTTTACATACCTTATTTACACAATAACAACATTAGGATATACGGGGTTGAGAGTAAACTAAGATCACTAAGCACGGAGAGCAGCTACGATGTGTAACGCCTGCATATCATCTCGAATAGCGAGGCCCCGACGGACGGGTCTCGCCTATCTTGCTTCGTCTCTAGGATTATTGTACACTTTACAAAAGTAGCATCTTTATCTTTGACTTCGCCCAAGCCATCATCGATGTCATCCCCAGTGCCATACCAAGGTTCGCAGCATGTTTGCAATAAGGACACCGTACAATAGATATGCCGAGTTTATTTCCAGAATTTCTGGAGCGAAACCTCCTTGTCGTCGTGCTTGTTGAGGATCTTGGCCGTGGCCAGTTCGAAATCCTCTTGTGTGACGTGAACTCTTCGTTCACGTAGAGCGTACATGCCAGCTTCTGTACAAACACCCTTCAATTCGGCACCGGAACAGCCGTTCATCTTCTCGGCGATCTTGGTTAGGTTGATACCTCTCGTTAGGTTCATCTTGCGGCTGTGGATGCGCAGAATATCGGCTCGGGCCTCGACTGATGGCGGCGGGAACTCGATCTTGCGGTCGATACGACCGGGACGAAGTAGAGCAGGGTCTAGAATGTCCAGTCGGTTCGTCGCCATGATGACTTTGATATTCTTGGTCGGCTCGAAACCGTCGAGCTGGTTGAGAAGTTCCAACATAGTTCGTTGCACTTCCGAGTCACCGCCTGACGAACCCTCCACTCGAGACGAACCGATAGAGTCGATTTCGTCCATGAATATAATTGAGGGTGCGTGTTCTCGGGCCATTACGAACAGTTCACGAACCATACGAGAACCTTCACCAATGTATTTTTGTACAAGTTCCGAACCGGAGACTCGAATAAATTTGCAGTCTGTGTGATGCGCAACAGCTCGAGCCAACAGGGTCTTTCCCGTACCGGGAGGTCCATATAGAAGCACACCCTTCGGTTGGGCGATACCGAGGGACTCGAACAGTTCGGGATGCTTTAAACCTAGCTCGATGACTTCCTTGATTTCTTTGATTTGTTGATCTAGACCACCGATCATATCGTATGTGCTGTCAGGAACCTTCTCCACCATCATGAGAGAGACAAGAGGGTCGACGGAGGACGGGAGGATCTTCTCGAGCTTGTAGGAATCGGATAATAGCGTTACTCGCTTGCCCACTGTGAGCTTCGCAATATCTACGGAATCGGCGACGTCGACGACTATAAAGGGTAAGCCATAGCACATAGCTTAGTATCTTAGATAAGCTTGTCTTCCATACCATATTTGCCTTCTGGGTGTACCTTCACTAATACTTTCTTCGTTCCCATCACCTTGACCACTTCACCAACATACGACCCGGGCTGCTGCAGAAGACCTAACTCTTCCCTTAGTAACCGCACTCTCGAGTTGTAGTCGTTTCGCTGGGCTTCGAGACGTCGGAGAACAGCTTGGCCCTTAAGAATCTCAAGCTTCATCGCCTCGATCTTGTTGTGGTAGTAATTGTCGAGCGCCATAGTTGCTAGAGCTCCCTTGAGGAGAACCGAAGTCTTGTGTGTCGTAGGTCAAGTTCTAAGGAGACGACAGAATGTTTGTACGATGAGTTGCGCTACCTGAGGAAGATTAATGTGTAGTGAGGATGTTGATGGTGATGTTGATGGTGATGATGAAGTCAAATGTAGCGATAGAGTTGGGATAGTGAGGCTAAGGCTACACCAATGATGGATTGGACCGGGGTCAGTATGGAAAGCTTAGATCGACGCAGGCAGTTGCAGCAACGCGTTCCGGAACAACGGTAAATCTAAAATCCCGACATTCCAACACTGCCCCGGTGACCACTTCGATTCCCCAAATTACTTAAGCAACTGTCCTGTAGTACATGTACTTCCTACCTCTTATCTAATTACATAACGTAAATTCGGATGCAGCACAGCTGCATAATATTGCAGGTGCAAAGCATAGGTTGTAGGTACATGTATGCATTGATTTTCGAAGCCTGGCAAGCTCACATGCATCTATTACGTAGGTATACTTTCGAAGATCTTCCAGAACTCTTTCACGGCAGCTACCTATTTACGGAGTACTCATTACATACATAGTATAGTAGATAACAGTCATTTTGAAGTATTGAGCCTAAGCGATTTTAATACAATAATAATTATTAACCTACTCTCTTTACTGAGCGTTGAGACTATTTTCTGTATTGTTTGAGAATTCAAGACAATCATTTTCTTAGTTGCATCTGTTGGGCTTGTTGATAGAGAGCAGTCGCAATTTGTAATGCGTCCCGCAGGCGCGGCTGCCCAGCTGCCAAGATCTGTTATCGAGAAGGTAGTACCAGGTATGTACCATACAAAAACAGGGATCTAACCTAGTAAACGTTCTTACCCTGCAACTCCTCCTGTGCTATGTCGTCTGTATGTAGGTAATCAACACCTTCCAGGCGGGACGACTTCGACAAGGGCGCGCTAAGCTAAACATTGTCCACTCACACCGTAAATAATCACGAGGCACGATCACGACTTGGGACTGGACTGGACTTCGCTCCATGTGCTATGCTCGCAATAGCCAGATACATACATGTAGCCATGCTTTGTGTCACACAAGGTTTGACTAACAATTGCGAGCAGTCGTAAGCTGGCTTTCAATTTCATCTTACCTACCGAGCTACCGAGCTACCGAACACCTCTTTTATCCTTTTGTCTCTTTAACCTAAGGATCCTATAATTATCGTAAAGCCGCTTCAAGCGTTTTATCTAATCCAACTTGTTTATTATTCGAATATCTCCGCATTTTGGATTCGTCCGCAAGACATGCTGCAGCAACATACAGCACGCTAGATCTGCAAGCCAAAGTCATACAATACATTCCCATCGGGTTCCACAGGCATCATTCGGGTCCCATTCGTTCCTCGTCTCTTAGCTTCTTGTCAAATTAAAACCGAATCGCGTAGGACAGTTCACTGTCCCCTCCCCTAACATCAGCTGTCTTTGTCTCGAAACCTTGAGAATTACCCCATATGCTCTTTAGCTAGCTTGGTAGTTTAATAAAGAGCCCTCTTCGTTGGCGCCGAAGATCTCAAGTACTTTCTATCCGCGATGGATCCCCATTCGCAGGACGACAGTAGCTCTGCTGCTCCGCCCTCGCCTACAGATTCGCGACAGCAGTCCGCTCGACGCGATGCCAGAGAGACTACGCTCCCCGAAAGTCACCAGTCCACCGAAACCGTGCGAAGAAGAGTAGACCAATCTTATGGTATGTCGTAACCTACCTCTCTAAACTTAATTCCAACTCTAGCGAGATGTCCCTTGCCTACCACACCAATTATCCATCTGAAGTAAACTAGGCTAACCCGACTTCCTGATCTAGGTACGGTTCAAACACCGCCGCCACCTACGAGCGGCGGTACGCAATTTCTGGGAGAATCAACTGCCCACGAACGAGCACACTCGAGAGCCGCAACTCAGCAATCTCGCTCTCCCTTACTTGGCTCAGACCGTGGCCGAGGGCGTCCTAGAAAGCCCTCTATGCCTCGCAGGGCCTCCTCCAACACATTAGCTCCCCATCGCGGCGAGGTCTTCTCTACGGATGACGACGTCAACGAGGTGGAGAACGATGCTGTTGGGCGACAGCAGCCTTTCTCTCCTCTTCCGGCTTATAACAATGAACAGGCAAGGACGGCGTCGTCTACGCTACGACGACGAAGTATGGTACCACCGACCCTGTCCCGAGTACACTCGAGTCGCAGCGCCGGTCCTGACGAGGAAGGAATTGAAGAGCTGCTAGAAGAAGAGGACGAGGAGGAGTACGTGGCGTCGCAACAGCAGGAGGGGAGTGTATTGCAAGATGCGCCTCCAGATTCGGGCGTTCCTAATGACAACGACGACGACGACGATGACGACGACGAAGTCAGTGATGCTGAAAGTTTCACATTGAAGGACCGCCAACAGGCTATCAACGAGACACATCCCTTCGGTATCAGGATTTGGAAGCCTGCATTGTACAAGAAAGACCGATCAGTCCAAAAGACTGCCGAGGGTGACATCCATTCTTCTCCTGGTGGTCGAGTCAGTACTTGGTTACTAGTCTTCAACCTCATCTGGACCTTGGCCTTCGGCTGGTGGATGGCTCTGTTTGCTGCGCTGGGCGCCATAGCCTGCTTTATTTTTGCGGCAGCTCCTAGTGGCAGAGAATATGGCCGCGTGTTATGGGGTCTGGCCGGCTATCTTTTCTATCCCTTTGGCAAGTTCGTGCGACTCGAGCAAGACGAGGCATATCTAGATGAAGACGAAGGTGAGGGTCGAAGCATCAGCGAGTATGAACAATGGCAAAATGGCGACCTGGAATATGGACGGTTGTTCTTTGGTCCTGACCGAAATCGCTCCATCATCGGCCGATCAAGAAGGAGTATCGACTCTGAACCTAGCGAGACAGATAGCCTCCTTCCTCGCTCAGGGCGCCGCAATCATTCGAGCGACCCAGGACGGCGACTGAAGAGGCGGTTATTTGGCCGCGGGCAATGGAATATTGGCCGTATTATCTTCTTCATTTTCTTTTGGGGTCTCATCACGCCTTCTCTGCTTATTGTCTCCGCCATCTGTTGGTTTCTGGTCTTCTGGATTCCGATGGGTAAAGTTACAAACCTTCTCTTTGACCACCTTAGAAGGCATCCCCTGGCTCTATCTTTCGAGTCTGATATCAGCGTCGCCAGAACATCCGATGGCCCGCACTCCTCCATCCTGCTTTGCACGTATCGAGGTGTAGGTCCGAAGTATTGGAAATACACCATCGATGGCACCAACATATTCCTTATCAACCTCATGGCCGTTGTCATTTTCGTCATCTTTGACTGGCTCGTATTGGATTCAACACTTCATG